TACATTACATTTATTAGAATCAGTGAATCAACATCATCATGTCTCCTATCATGAAAAGCAGCCACAATTTAACCCTTTCCAGTCGAATGGTGTCGCGAACGGCGCCTCTTCGACCATACTTTATAGCGAGGGGCGTCGTATAGCTTTCATGATAATTAATTTATAGCTAGGCTGACCGCTATAGGAATTTTTGAGTGTGATGTAGGAGTATTTCTGTAGAGGGCCTCCTGTATTTAGACCAAATAAAATGCCTGCACCCAGTAAAAACCCGACATTTAGTGTAGAAGATGTAATTTCCTAGCTTTGGTACAGCCTCAGGCAATGGTAATGGGGCAGACTGGAAAGGGTTAACAAAAGATTAACCTTTAAGATTTAAGTTTATTAATCAATTACAGTAATACAGATGGATGAAAGAAAATACACATTTAAAATCCAAGGGTTAAAAACCAGTAAAATATTTGTCAACATTACTGTTAATTTATATTTATGGAAAGAAAGCACCTTTCACAGGCTGCACTGATACCACTTTTGTAGTTATAATATAAATTTCAGAAAAACAGCTTTCCTAAACATTAATCTCTCAAAACATTTTATTCTTTCTTTCTAGAGTGTTCCATAAGTGATGTTGATATCAAATAAGTTGCATGCATCTGTGAGGAAATATTTCTTATATTCCAATGAAAACCAATTGAAGGTATGGATCATTATATTAATATTACAGATACATAATTTTACGGTTTTTAAGATTTCAAAATCTATTTTATTTGGTCTTTACATAATCATGACTATGTAATTGTAAAACATTTGTGTGTATAAATGTTAAAAAATGTCTTACCTGTGTACTATCATCATTCGTATAAGTAACAATATGATTTAAAACTTCAGTTGAAAGCTGATTCGTAATGGGAATAAGAACTGTTGTAGGTACATTGCTGTAGTTGAAATTGTAATATGTCAATACCCTAATGCAATTGCATCAACACTGACTGTGCGGTTTATACCTGGGTATAATCTTTTGAATTGCGCCCTCTCTCGGCGTAGTGGTTTTTTGATGGTTTCCCTAACGACGAGTTATTGATCATTTTCGTCAGTTAAATTAACGATATTGTGGATTTGACGCCGGATGGGAATTACCAAGTTTGATTTAATGATTTTGAGTGAGTTATAGTTAATTACTATTGCAATGGTTTTCCTTAACAAACTTTTGTTCATTTGTTATTTATGACCGTATTATGAAGCACTTTTGGTGCCGTAGGTGACCATGTTATAGCCTAGGCCTAGAGAAAGTTTATAACAGAGATTCGTTGATATTAATTTATTGAAAGATTGTTAAGGCAAACTGGTATGAAGACGTAGGTCAAAGGTCCAGTAAAAATTATAGACCTTTATGAGCAGTTTAATATTACTGTATACAGATAAATACAGTGTTTAATGTGTTAGTTTAATCATAGTTTTATCTCAGAAAATATGAGTAGATATTGCTTTGCTAGAGAAGACCGCACGCTCGTTGTTGTTTGAGCTCATGAATATTCATGACTTGCCTAACTCATTCCATATTTGGAAACAGCCAGGAATCGAAGGGCTGTACTTGTGTATTGATGTTTTTATGGATATTATTCATTTGTTTTGGGATACAAATACTTATATTTAGACCTCATACATATCTGATTGTAGATAATTACCAATGATTATTATTAGATTATCAATCATTTTTATTTTTAGGATATCAGATGATTATAAATCTTGAAGACATTGCACTGCTGATTATTTGTGGAGAGCAATTGAGGTACTATACAATAATTGTGTTCTTAATAATAGGAATATATGCTGTTGTATTAATAATACGATATAAAAGATATAGTGACTATGCTATAATTGCTATGATAATGCAAACTCTGTTACGGTTAATTAATTTTGAGTTCATGGGAAAAACCATGATAATGTTTTTAGAGAAAATCAGTTATAGTTGCAGTTGTGTAATTAACTTGTTTTATATTTTACTGTTATAGTTCACGGTAAGGATCTTTGGAAAGACATTAAAGACCAAAGAGTACCAGTGAAACCTTGTTCATAATTTTTTGAAGTCTAGTAGTGCACACTGACTATATCAAAGTGAGGCAAAAAGCAGTAAGGTAGTCACAATCACTCAGAGTAGAAATACAACTCGTTTATTTTACAACAAGGAAGCCATTCCAGTTTACAGCCCTCTTGTAGTTTGTTGTTACTATTGTAATAGAAAAGGCATTAAAATTATTCACAAAATAGTAAATTATGCTCTTTCACCAAAACAAAATATAATATATTTTAACTTTCATTAAAGAAACACTAATTTGGACATTATTTTATTTTTTTTATTTTATTTAAATTTGCATTCAACAGCAGTTGCAAAAGTCACAAGTAAAAATTAAAAAAACAAATATATAAATCAACGACTATAAACAAGCCTAGTATGGTAATTATATTAGAGTATTTCACTTTTATAATAATACTGTAAATATACATCTAGACTTTCTTAAAATGTTTAGTCTCACTTTTGCAAGTTTTGTGTATGCACGGTTATAATATTTTGTATTGGAACCAAAAAAAAATAAAATAAAATTTTATTTATACTATTTTTACCATTTTTTTTATGTTTGTGTAACTTTGGAAAATGACAAGAGCAAGGCATTTCATTAGACTCTTAAATTCAGTAAATACATTTTAGGATTCTAAATGTTGAAGTTTGTACTGTAAGTGAGTAATACTGAATTGTTGTGATATTCGTCTATTAAATACCGTACTCGCGCGAATAAGCGCCCCGTTTGAATGAGCGCCCCTCTCGAATAACCGCCTCTCCTAACGTGAAAATTTCCTTAAGCGCCCCTTTTAGCAAGTCAATAATCCAATCAATCCTGGGACTGTGGTTGTTGGCATGATTTGAGCTGCAGAGTGGAAACACATTCTTCTTAGGTCAATATCAGAATGAGGATATTTCTCTTTTGACAGATGAGAGCTCTGATCCCTGGACAGACAGTATATTTCCAACTTTACTCTAGTTTTTACATATTTTTCTATGCCTAGTCCTACTTCTCTTTTTTTCCCGACCTTTACCACATTCTCTTCTGAGATTTCAAGAAAAAAAAACAATGATCCTGTCATCCTGCTAATCTCATTCGGCAGATGGCCAACAAGCTAACCACTACCCACCACCACTAATTGCACCTGCTATTTTGCTGTTATGTAAATATTCACGCATTCTTGTCATGAGCCAGTTCTCTGGAGGATTTCTTTTCCGCCTAACCACAATTCGTAATGTCATTTTCATTCAAAAGGTGCCTCTTGAATTTAATAATTTCCAATTTCCCATAAGAACCCCTCGATTTTCATCTATTTCCATAACCGCCCCCTTAGTTTCCACTCTGTTTTCATAAGCGCCCCGTTTAAATAAGCGCCCCATCAGAAAGTGCAAAAATCACAATTTACAGCCATGGTTACAGCATACACGCAAAGATCGTACGCGGCGGATACCATATACGCGGCGCTATTTACACGATCTTTTGTTACTTTTTCGCCAGTGACGTCATGGTAAAATCGTATAAAATCGTCTATAACTTCATTTAAAAAAAAGCCAAAAAACGATTTTAAGGTTGATTTTATTATTAATGGCAAATCAAAAATCCTCTCTAGAACAAAAAAATAATTTTGCTAGTTCTCTTTTAACGTAATAACTTTGATATGTATGATTTATGTTGTTTGTTGAATAGACTTCTTTGATAACAATATTGCAGTCTAATATGACCAGAACATAAGGAAGTCCACTCTGTAGATGTTTAATATAGTACAGAGAATTTTGATTGTTTATCAATATCATTATATACGTTAGATCTAAATTCCAAGACATTACATTTTATGTACGCATCGACGAGGAAAGAAGTCTACTCGTTAAATTAGCACAGATAGTACAGAGAATTTTGATTGACTGTCAATCTCAGATATCTAATTTTTAGGAAATTACGTTTTATGCATGCACCAACGTGAGAACTTTAACCTAATAACTTTGATATGTATGTTTTATGTTGTTTGTTGAATAGACTTCTTTAATAATAATATTACAGTCTAATATGACCATAACATAAGGAAGTCCACTCTGTAAATGTTTAATATAGTACAGAGAATTTTGATTGTTTATCAATATCATTATACATGTTATCCATATCATTTGATTAGGGAAACCGTGTTATGGTTTCGACGTGATTCGATTTAAAGTTGGTACTTCCATTTGTTGCATTATTTAGCCTGGGTTGCAAATTAATGGTTACAGGGGTTGATATTACTAAACCTAAATGTTCATCTGTGAAACCGTAGAAATCTGATTCTTCGGCAGATGAGTTAAATGAATTGATACTCAAGTTCGTCAAATCATCCATGTTCTAAGAATAAAAATGAAAATGTCAGTTTACTTGTTGTACGAGAGGCTTACACCCATATATAAAATATAACAAACTTTTATGCCGTTTGACGTGTGCATTGATTATTTAATGCTTGTTTTATGTGTCCATGTGTATATAAAATATGCCTTGTTTGTATTTTTGAATCATAGAAACAGATTACATGATGTACCGATATTTTGACGTAACAAATATCTGAATCTGAATATGTATTGATTTGAATATTTGTCCTTTTTGTAAAGTGTCACAGTCCCCTTTAAAACAACAGAAGTAAAGTAAAAGCTATTATTGTGAACCCTCCTAAAGTAGGCGTTTCTGCTTACTATAATATTGCAGATCCTATACGATTAATACCATTTACAGAGTACACCACATGACTAATTGCATGTTTCAGTGATTTCAACTTACCTTTAGTTTAGTTAACTGCTGCAGCCAATCAGCTGCTAAAAGTAATTGGTGCTCTTGTATGGCTACTGCTAGTGGTAGTGTCATGTGAGCTAATTTTTAAAGATAATTCCACACCTTCAAAGGAAAATACCAAAACAATTATTCAAACTGGTTCAGTAATTGGTCCTATGTTTATAGCTGAATCTTTACACACTTCGAGGTTTACACAGATGTTAATACAGTGCCTGATAAATGGTTCAGTTGCATTTTAAACAGCAATGGATCCTACCAATGCTGATAGTGATAGGCACTCCTGTCTTGAAATCACGGAGGATACTCAGGATGTCTCAGTAAATAGACGAACTAATAGGCAACGTAGTTTCAGACATCGAAGATCTATAATACGTTTTAAAAGGGAAAGCAGAATACCATATGAGGATGATTATGTAAGTACAAATTATTATTAAGATAAGTTTGCTGCCCAAATTTGTTCAGCTCAATATATTTGATTATTATGACAATCACATGAGAGGATGTTGGATGTTATACAGAAATATGCTTCTTGTGAGTTTATTTGTTGTTTTGTTAACGTTGCACATTTAGGGCACTTGCTCCCTGGCTTTGCCAGTGCCGACTCTTATTCAAATACTAAATATTTCATAAGAGCATATACTGAACACGAATTATACCATTATTGCATACTTATTTGTCTGTAAAATTATATTTAATCTATGACTATATGAAATTGGTGGTGTGGAGAGATTATAATAAATGAAATTGGTGCCCCTCGTTGTAAAAACTTCTTGATCCACCCCAGTTGATTGGTTTTGAGCTACTAAACAGGAACAATAAATATTTACATTTGAAATGCTTATACTGTAGGCCTGAATTTTAGGAAGCTATTAGTACAGAATATACAATTGATTTGTTTTACCTTCCCAGTATATTATGCTGGTTTCCATTTATACTCCTGGGTTGAGACAAATGTAGATAACATGGGTGTATGCAAGGGAAGGTCGTACGACCCCTCCCCCTTCCAAAATTTGCAAAGGTCCACACTTTTTCCGAAGACATTTTTTTCTGGGGCCTTTTCACAATGACATAAATGAAAAAGCATTAATGAGGTATCAGCAATTAGTCCAAAGACCTTGCCAATTGCGCAACGTAAGCTATCTCAATTTCAGCAATTCTGAAACTGAGCCTGCCATCTGCTTCAAGCAAATTTATAGACATTTTAATCACATCTTGTTGTTATTTCATTGTGAAAAGGTCCAAAAAAATATGATCACGACCCACCCAGAAAAATATCCTGGATGCACCTCTGGATAAAGTGTTTTGCCTAAGGAAACAATCAACTTGCACAATAAGGGTTACGAACCCCCGAGCTGGGGTTGAGGGTTTAAGCCACAACCGTATGCGACATTAACTTTGTGCAGTGCCGTTACTTCGTAACATTAAAAGTGCCGTAATTATAATATAAGCGGTGTCAGTGTTATGTTAATATTGTTCAATTTCAACCAATCACAATCTTGAAACAACGATGAAAGGGCCATAATGAAAGCGCGTTTTAAAAAGCGGCGTTAGTTTTATTCTAATGCACGCTGTTTTTGTATAGAAAGTAAGAGTATTTCTTCATTGTAATTTGTAAACATATTTAAGACTGAAGTTTTAGTTTTTAATTACTAGCAATTTAAAAACATTATGTTTCAAAATCTGCCGCTTATTAATTTATCTGACTCTACGGACTGGACCATTATATTATACTGTACCGTAAGTGCTAGGCTTGCTACCTTCTTAGAACATCGTGGTTAAATTTGATTGAATGAAGTTATAAGTTCACCCTGGCATGAGTTTGAAATTTATAATACATTTTAAAGAAACCCTTGATTTTATTAAACAAATTCCTTAAATTAAACATTTTTTGTGCTTGGTGACCATAACGCCCTCATTTCAGCAGCCACTATTAAAACACATCTGATAGGGTTGTCAGTTTAGTCGACCAGATACAGTTTATACACAGGACTACTTAACTACGAATGTTGGAAAAAAAAACAATCCAAAACAAAAATCAAACCAAAGAACCAGAACACCACGATAATATGAATTCATACAGATCAGACCATTCAATTATTGTTAACGAATTAGAGCTAAATACAATAGAACGTGGAAATGGCTATTGGAAATGTAATAATTCGTTTCTTAAAGATGAGAATTATATCAATCTTGTCAAATCCGTAATTAATAAATTATCGTACAATACGTTCCACACAATGATCTTAGTCTTATAACCATTAATGATCAGTTGTTTTTAGAGATGATCTAATGGAGATTCGATCAGCAACAATTAAATTTGCATCTCAGAACAAGAAGAAAAATCATATTTTAATAATCTTTGCTGTGATTTTAATTTTTTTGCCAGTTTTCAAATGTTTTTCCTTCTTTTTGTTGGACAATAACTTATTTCAGTATTCAGTATTGAGACAGAACTTCTAACTTTTAAACAGATGGAACTTGAGAAGTTAAGAAAAAAAAAATTGAAGGAATAAGAGTCAGATGAAAGGCTCATTTGATGGAGGAGGGAGGAAAGCCTATAGAAAGTACTTTCTCAATTTTGAAAATAAAAGAATTTCATGGCAAAAACATTATTATAATTGAATAATAATAAATTATTATTATTCAATTATAATGTTTTTGCCATTATTATAATTTAAGGAAACGATGGAAAATTATAAATTCCGCAAGAGAAATTCTTATTAAATCGAGGAGGTTATAATCTTTCGTTTTTTTCTCTCTTTCGTGGGAATATCACCCAACTTTATTTCTATCTTTTTTTTAAAATTTCCTTTTGATTTTTTTTTCTGTCATCAATGACATCAATTAAAACACAATTGCACTTTAAAGGTGACAGTCCACAATGGCTGACTAATTTTTTTCAACGCATATTTCAATGTACATCACATTCCATGATTTTACATGCACATGCACATG